GTATATTGATCGTTTTGGACGCCCTTTTAGTCATCAGGTCTACAGAAATTTACGACGATGACGTCTAACCGCGAAGAGATCGCCTATGCTTTCAAATCGATGCCAAGGCGGATCTAAATTTGTTTTGCTTAGACTGTACCTACATACATACGTGATCTCCCTTCCAGTTTGTAATCACGAATAATACACACGTATTGTGTTGATTATCAATCCTTGCATAACCACGCGTTCACAAAGTGCATTCGAACGTGATTATTACACCCAGGAAGATAACCAACACGGATATACTGTTACTGCAAATTGTTTTCGTATTTGTATCGATTACGTTTATTGGTAGCGAGAAATGCGAGAAACATGTTGATATATGCGATTCTCCTTTCACATCATATTATTGGATGAAATAACAGCACGGACGATTTATAGCTTCATACTTCGTTCCTATATTCAGAGTATGCAATTACGTTCTGCTTGTTTCCTTCTTCATTTAGGAATTTTGTATGTTATGTAATTTCAAGAGACTTGTGGAAATTAGATGTCGTATATATAATATATAATAATAGCGATAATGTAATATTGTTATATTCTCTTGTGAGAAATATTCTAAGAACTATTATCATTATTATGTAACAAAACGTAATATTTCAGTATTATTATTAGAATGTAAACACTGTTATACTATCTTGAAAATTTATCTAACACAATAGAATAGGATGTAACGACATTTCCACGTGAAAAGTTTTACGTTTGATTTGTAAAACTTTTGTTTGTATATTTGAATATGCCATTTGTTTCGGTGAATTTTAATTAAATAATTACCATTTTATTCAAGTTACTGTGTATCGTGAATTTCTGTTTTATCGATTAATGTAGAAAGCTCTACTTAATCATATACTAAAAATTGAACGAAAGTAAAATTACGAAGGGAAATCAGATAAATGTTCAAGACATATGAGACATAATTTTTCGCGAGTATTAAGCAAAGACGTAAGTTAGGTTAGTTTTGAAACACATAATTCCTCAGTTACGTTTAAATGAATCGAATATGAATTAAAACTCGCTATCCGCCTTCAAAGTGTTGAAACTACATATCTGTTTCAATGATTTCTATTTTTTCGCGAACTTGGAGCAAACAAGTTTCTAGAAGCGTAACGGAGAATTAATGGAAGCGCTTATCCACTTTTTGCTTCCTAGATTTACCATAAAGCGTTAATTAAAATTCTACATAGAATGATTTTATTCAGAACGGATATTACGAAACTGCATATAGTGGTACAGATAAGCGTGCAACCTAATTGTGCGAATGACAGAAATCGCGCGATAACATACACTAATTATCATTAACGCTCGTGGAATCATAGGCGTTTCGAGTTTAATTTCATTTCAATGAAACTTCGCGTTGCCTCCTGTTAAAATCGATATATCTTTTCTGTCATCTTTGATCGAAGTACACCCGTCCCTCAATTTACGCGACACTTTTTTTACGCGAGTCTCTTTTACGCGATAAATGATAACACAATTTACGCGGTAGTTTTTATGCGCGATCTTAATTTACGTGGTCTGAAACGTGGTCTTTTTTCGTTAAGCTATTTGAAATAAATATGTATTTCTAAAACTTATATGTACTAGCTTTTACTTCCAATATTTTTTCTTTTGTACTGACAGACTTTATTTACGCGATTTTCATTCGCGTAAAACGAATCGTGAGGTACGGATGTATATTGGTGAACGTAGCGCAACGAGTGTTTTAATCCTTCGGGTCATATTTGGTACTTCTTTGCATTAATCCGCAATATCCAAGGAGCTATTTCAAAAGTATGCACTCATGCTTCAGCAGTAATACGATTATATAAATATATTTACATCGAACAGAGTTTTATTATATTAGATCGTTTCAAATATTTTTTACGTCCTCGATTACATCTACGAAACTGGTATTAACTAATTTAACCTGTTCACTGTGTTCACTTCTCAAGCAGAAATTAAGAAATTAAATGAAAAAAGGACAAAAATTATAATTAATCACCTCTGTTTGCTCTTTGCAAATATGGATATGACGTATTTTTATATTTAATATAGGCATATACAAATACAATTAAACACGAACAATCCCTCGATAGATAAACTACTGCGTTCGAAGTATTTGTGAATCATTGACGAGTTAACTCGTCTTCCACGATTAACAGGTTAAATGAGAAATTGAAATTAATACGATGTCTATCTGCTGTGCGAACAATTGATATTCACCGGTATACTATAATAATTAAGAAAGAACAGCGTTTGATGAGATAACCTGGCAAAAAAAGAAAATATTTTGAAGAAAATACGATGCTCGCAAGGCTCGCGATTCTGCAGAAGACACCGTGAAGGGTTGAGAAATATCTTCGAAGCGATTTACCCGCGAAATTTGATTCCTTGTCCGTTGTTCAGAGAAACGATAAAACCGTCTCGATTCTTAGAAACCCGTGAGCACATGCCAGTATGTACTGCCGAAAACACAACGTAACCTGCATATTTCTAAATACATCACCAGTTTCTCCTGTGGCCGGGCAATAAATTCAGGGCACAAAGTACCGGCGAATGATCATGGAAGTTCAGCCAGTTCGTAAGATATATGGTGCAGGCTCGCTTAAAATTTGCTCGGCTCGAATGCAGTTAGCTACATAAATAATGACCACCTGTGATTCCGTGCGAGTAGAGCTCACCAGTTGTTACAACCTGCCCCGCCGTATTGCCTCGTTTTACTTAAAACCAGCCTGACAATTATCTTAATAGCCGACTCGGTCGGGAGCGACTTCTCGGTAGCGGAAGCGAGAGGCGCTCCTGAGGACTTTTCATCGAGCCTCGAAGCCACGAAGGATAATCGTCCGAACGTTTCGCGGGCACACACACACCATAATTTCACCGCTGTTTATTCACGATTTTTCACGTTTATTCCACGAGTTGCCCACCGCGTCTACAACGTTAGATAGCCGCAACAGATAATGTCCACTGAGATCCTCTCGACAACGTGGATTGGCGGTTAGCGGAAGAAAATGATGGAAACTCGTGCGGGTACCTCTCAATTTTCGAATTATCGTTGTCTGGACCTCCTATGGCCTTGCTGCGAGAAATCGTTTGCGGGAGAGATTGACGCAACCGGTAACCGCACGAGAACGCGAGTCGGCTAGCTGGTAAAGTGACGCAATCGAGACTTATTGGCGATTAGCGAATTATGAAAATAGTTATGGTCATTTCTTTGGTTGCACGCGTGTAGTCTCGTTATGTCAGACACATAGGGATGAGTAATTGGAACTGATAAAGTTGTATGCTTAACCGAAATAGAACGTGCTACGATTAAGCGAACTGTCTCTCTAAAGTGGAACGAAGTTGGAGGTGAACGATACGGTTTTGTTCTGTCTGGAATTTTTTCGCATTTTACTACGAATATTTGATAATTATGTATGTAACAGCGAATAGGAAAATGGTTAATCGTTGTGCGTAACCAGTTACCTGTTTGTCATGAAGAAATGGCAGTATTTTGTGTTGCGACGAGTATACTCGTTATGCGTAAAAAGTAGTTACAATTTGCTGTTTAAATTGCAATTTTAGTGAAAACTAAAACATATTAAACTACTGCTACTCTGTTTTTTACTTTTTCTTTTTTATTTTCATGTTTTATTTTCAAACAAATCTCTTTTTCACACATTCATCGCCAAAGTTACCAAAAAGCCCTGTCAGTAATAAAATTAAAAAATAAAACAGTCATTTGATTACAACTTAATTCTATATTATAACAGCCGCACATACTCTGTGTTTGACGAGTATACTCGTCATCGCTTACTTTTGGCGACACGTTTTAGGTATACACTTTCCAAAGAGGTCGCAACAGCTGACTGGTTAAAAAAAACGTAGAATGTAAAGTGAGAAATTTCGCGGTGAATAATTGTGGATAAATGCAAGTGCAAATTGTTGAAACAGGATGTTGGTACAAGCAATGAGTGGTAATTAAAAAATTGCTTGGACAAAGTTTCAAGGTTAACCGGGAGAAGATAGGAGTACTTGAAACGAACTTCAATATGAAATAATGAATTGCAAAAATGAAAGTAAAATTTATTTCGTAACGCAGAGTACAATCTAAAGTTCAGCTCTGCTACACTGTTGAAAAAAAAATACAGAATTACTTACAATGTAATATATACATTCATCAGTATCAAATGAATCATAGCACTCGTAGTCAGTCAATGAAACAATAAACTCTCTATTAATGAATTACCGTTTCATCGTGTTTATTTGTTACTTAAACGGAACATACACTGCTTGCTAAAAAAATTGCACCACCTAGAAATTGAAGTTGCACAAATTTGGAAATCACATATTTTTCGGGCTGCTCTGAGAGCAATGACCTTTTTCACTAATGGGTCATTAATGACCCAAGGGAAATTTCACTCTTCGAAATTAACTTCTATTTTTGTATCGAAGAAAGTTCTAAACACTTGACTCAACAATCGTATAATGTAGCAGACACTTTGATAAGTATCCCAAAATTTCTTCGAATTGTTCGAAAATCCAGAAGAGCAAAAAATTACACTTGGGCACAAACGAATCAGTTAGCGTATGGAGTGTGAAAAATTACATTTGCCCATGGGGGATTGACCAAATTTTAATCATTTTTCCCTATCAACGCTCCAAGCGAGATTCGTAAATTTTCAGATTTGTCCAGTTTCACTTTGAACGTGTTGCAATTTTATTGGCGAGCAGTGAAGAAACTGTACATAGTTTGAATCATACACGGTATCGTAATCGGTCTAGTGCAAACGTCATACGATTTATCATTGCACAGGCTGTGATCTCGTAATGCGACAATGTCCCGTTCGTATCAAGGACGATGTATCATCATTTCAGGCGAACTCTATAAATCTCCGCTTCCCTTACGCCATCTACTACTACGATGACGCGCGAATTCTACTCCGAAGTGAGACAAGCGGCAATTAAAATTTGAATTGTTTGTTTTATGGTTCCAGTGAGCATGGCCGTGCTGATGTTTTTCCTCTTCGGTAAACCGTACAAACGTGGATTCTTCTGCAACGACGAGTCGTTATATCACCCGTTCCACTCGTCGACGGTAACCAGTGCAATGCTTTACGTCGTTGGCCTTTTCCTTCCTATATGCACGGTGAGTCACCCAGCTGGGCGAGAGTCTCGATTTCCTCGCTTCAAAAAGAAACGCCAGACGATACTTCGTTGACGCCACATTCGTTTTTTTTTTTCTTGTCGTTTAGCGGTTAGGCTGTTTTGTACGAGGTGTTTCTTAATACGCGAGGAAGTCTGACGGGAGGGGGGATTCCCAAGTACAAATCGCCGATTTTTATGAAACTTACGTTATAATATATATTTGACATATATTTTTTTACGCGTCAACTTGCAAGTTTCAGAGGATGAAAATAGCTCTCAAAATTGGTTTTAGAAAAATTGGTGTTTATGTTGGTATTTACACGAAGTGATATAATTAACGGTGTGTTTGCGCGTAAGGTAAGGTAGATTTGCCATTTGACATAAATAGAAAATTTTCAAGTAGAAATCTGTAAAATTGGCGACAATTACATTATCAACAAATCTCAAGATAACAACAGCACAGACTCTATGGAAAATTTCGTGGAAACTGATAAACCGTCGTCTAATATGTGGCAACACGCTGCAAATGCAAATAAGAAACGTAAAATCAGCCCACCCAAGAACCAGTTAATAAACGACTCAGATATACATCAAGACAAATGGCTGACAAACGTACTTCTTGAAATCTCTTTCAACATATTACCAGAAATTATAGGCGAGCATTCGAAGCCTCCTCAAATTATCCAGCCTCTTTTGGAAATCTTGAAAGAAACATCACACGATAATTACACGTTGAAGCGATTAAAAAAAAAGACAATCGAACGTGGAATTGTACATGGAGAACCTCGATCTGTACAATTATCACGTACACATCGTTCTCCGATCTTTGACTTCTAGGTCTGGTACAATCGGATCGAAAATTAAAAAGCCACCCTACTGACAAAAAATGATCCCAGTCAGCTCTCCCAGACGTATACAGATTTGTGAGACGCCCCTCTAGTAGCTGAAACGTTGGCAAGTGGTGTAGTCTCGCGAGGAAATAAAAAAAACTTCCTATCTTTTTATCTAATTTCCTGACGACACCGAGCGAGGCGCGCAGCAGCTGTTCTTTATCTGCTTCTTGCTCGTCTCTGTCAAATAGAGTCCCTCCGGTGGCGATCTAATATAATCCCTAGATATTTTCGTAGAAATTTTTCCACTTCTGTCAGCGAGACGTCAGTCGGCGTAACGTGAAAAAGAGAGAGCGTAGAAGGTGCGATCGAAACGGAAACGCGCGTATATACATATGTATATAAGTATAGGTGCGAACGCATAAGGATGTCCGCACATATGGGATGCAACGAAGAAAGAAGGGTTATTCGTTAAGTTTCGGTGGTCGTGGGAATCGATTTACGGTATCTGGAAGTGGTGCACGTGCAAGTCGATGTATTTTTGCCGAGTAGCACGAGAGCAGAAGAGACTGCATCCTCTATTTGCATCCTTTGAAATTGCACTCCGCCATGGTCAGACTACACGAAGGGTCGTTAGCCACTAAAGGAAACTGAACAGATGTATATGTATGTGCACCGTAAGTTTCTTCATCGGTTCTGGGAATATTTTCATATTTCCTCCACATGTGCCCTATACATAGGAGTCGTTGGAAAATCGTTCGAATTCCGTAGATAGCTTAACGGTATTTATAGATCCTGCACGATATGTCTTACGACATTGGCTATTTTGAACCGCGCGGCAAGGTATCCATAAACGAGGTGATCGAAGGTAGTCGAACAGCGGATATTTGCTTTTATTTTCAACAAAAACAACGCGAGATCGTCGAACTTGTCGGTGCTCCTTTTTCATCGTGTGCATTAATTATCGATGTTTTGATCGCGGTACAGATTTCGAATTGTCACCTTTTTCCTTACGTTTCTTCATCACTGTATTTCTGTGGCATCGAAAAGTGAAGGTACCAATTACGTGTACAGTGATATAGAGTACGTTTGAGAAAGAAGAGATTTTTGTGGAAAAGATTACCGTATTTTTCGGACCATAAGACGCACCCGAAATTTATGGGACGATTTTTAGAAAAGAATATTTTATTAGGTATATAAAGATATTTTCAAATTCTTACTTAATTTATTTATTGTTCAAATAATTCGTACTAGCAATATTCAGTTCATCTCCACTCTCGGTACTGTCACTCATCTCGTTAATGCCACCGTTCGAACTTCTCTGATAGCTTCGATACAGTATAAAGATTCGTATTTTAATGTTACCTTCGGACCATAAGACGCACTCCAATTTTAAGTCGACTTTTCTATGTAAAAAGGTGCGTCTTATGATCCGAAAAGTACCGTAAATTGTAAATGTAAAATTTTCTCTGAAAACAAAAAAAATGAAATTTGGAACTTGAAGTGTTATATTACAATTATATGTAAAGTTTATGAAAAAGAATTTTTAGTCGAAAATATTTTTTTCTTTTTTTTTTTTTTTTTTTTTTTTAAGAAAAATGTTAAAGGAAATTAATCTTTTTTCGTAGTAAGAATGATGGATACGTAATTACACACGCTGTAATTATATCAACATATGACTGTTTTCGCATGAAATGTAAATACGAGTTAGTTTCAATTTTATCTGTATTATCAGTTTACCTATTAAAAGTCTTTATCTATATGTTTTTATTTTCCATGTTAGCTTTAGGTAGTCAGCGTTATGGCCTTGCTGATAAACTATCAAAATAGAATTACGGTGAAATAATGTTAAAACTATGCTCATGCTTATTTCGAGTACAATACACGCGAAAACAAGAATCAAGCTACTCAAACAGATTAACCAACACTTGCTACCCTTTACTTACTCTAATCTTCTTGATATCTTCTGTGCCGAATTTGCCGTGCAAATTGAAGTTTTTACATCGTTATTATTAGCTTCGATGTTCACTTCAATGTCAGTTAAAAGAATGTCACGTCGAATAATTCTTTTCGACTAGATTCACATAATTGATACAAAGCCACCAAGTTTCTATCGCGATGGCATCCGCAGCTTGCCAGAACAATAGCGAAAGGTCGTCAAGAATAATGGAAATTATTTCGACGAGTGATCTGCTTTCATTTGTTTTTGTTTTTTTCAAATAAATCTTCGATTGTACCCAAAAACCGGAAAGAATTCATTTCTACATCCGATACGTGATCGTGAATCTTTCTACACATCCCGAAAGAGTAAAGAAAATGTGTATTATTTTGTGAGAAACACATTGGGTCCGGGAAATAAAGTATTCCGTGATTTTTCAAGCTGAATTACATTCTCCGAATTGTATTCTCAATCAAACATATACATTTCTTGTTCCCCGATAAAAATGCTATTCGATCTGTCCGTGAACATACATATATAGTGGCACTTGAAATAATAAGCGGGCCCTTGTTAGCAACGATCCCTCTTCTCAGCTGTGAGCCGTTCACAAGAATTTCATCTGAAGTCGTTTGTTTGCGCGTTCGTCTGCGTGAAACCGCGTTTCACTGGCACACGAATTTTCTACCTGTGGCTTCCCAGGAATCTGAGAGTGGTTCTTTCCTTAGCATTGCCACGGCTCGTTATAACCTCGGAACGAAGCTTTCGTTTCCTTATTCTTCGAGCAGAAGGAAAATCAGATAGGGGGATAAGTTGATTGTATTCACAGAGGAATTGTTATTTTAATTTACGTACTTCCAGTGAAAAGGTAGGAGAAAAAGGAGAATTACCAGTGAAATTAATTGAAGCAAATGATATTCAGAATAAGTTTAAAATTTATGTATTGATCGATTTTTTAATAAAGTTCCTTCACAATGAGCGTCACCTTCAAAAATTTCTACTTCGATACAAATTTCAAAGATTGAAGTGGTACTCTTTAACCCTCGGACAGCGGATGCCGGGTCAGATAAGACCCAATGCTAAGATCCTTTTCGCACGCAAACGAAACCACGTTTTCTAGTTTGAAAATTATGCAAATATGATTGAAATAAGAGAGTCGTGACACTGTTTCAAATGCCGGTTGAAACGAGAGATATCTAAATTCGGGTCACCGGTGACCCAACATCCGCCATTCAAAGGTTAAGAGGTTAGACTCACATCTAAGGTCTGAAAGTGATACCTAACTCTGGCATTTTTTTTTTTCAACATAATAATTGACTCGATCGAAAACTTTTCACAAGAGCTTTACTATATTACCCTTAAAGTATACGCAAGTATTTTTTCATTTAATTTCTTTACAAAATGGCGGCGCTACAGCCGTATCGCCAAATCTCTATTTCGAACGAACGACCCCACGATGCTGTCCTCTGCTGCCACGTGGTTTCACTTAGAACAAAATATAAAAAATTTTCATGGTCTACATGCCAATTACCGAAGAAGTTCGTAGGATTTTAAAAATATGTCGAGTTTTATAGAAATGGTGAGAATTAAAAAATTTTTTCTTCAAATTTTAGGCAAATATAAATATACTTCTGCATGCGATTACTGTAAGAGACGTGTCTGTAACGTCCACTCTACGCAAAACGTGCAATAATATAAATTTAGAATAAATATCATTTGTTTTTCATTATACATGCTTTCGTATACGCGCGACGAAAATGTGAACGTAATTCAAGACCGACTAATTATTAGTTTATCGATAATGGTTTCGAGCTCGAGCGACCGTCACTGATTAGTAGAATATCGGTGAGGAGCTCGAGCGACCGTGAATACATGTATTAGTGAAATATATCCATGTGGGTCAGAATTGACTTCGGCACGAGAATTCCGAGCTGCATTATTCGGAGGGTTAAACTCGGAGAGTAAGAGAGAGGGCACTTAATGAATTTTACCCAAACCGATGGATAGGAGGACGTGGAGGATCAGTATCGTAAGTCAGTTCTTCAGACCGTAACCCCATTAGATTTCTTTCTCTGGGGACCACTCGAAAATCTTGTCTATCAAGAAATACCTGCTATACCGGAAAATATTAAACAACGGATTACTGCAGCATGTGTTGGAACAAGTTTAGAGGCGATAAGACGTGCATCTTCTGTTTGAAATAAACGTATAAGCTCTCCTTCAATTTGTCATTCCATCTTCCATCGAGTGTCGTTTAAATCACGTTAAGGTCCTTCGTAATTGTCCAAACGATCGGTTCCTTTTTATCCGTGATCACAGAACAATCGGCGAAACCCGTATAGCTGGCTATCTACCGCACCAAGTCTTGAAACCCACAATCCCATAAGTAAATGAATTGTTCAAAGATAGAAAAGCGACTCGTCCCTTTTTCACGCGGCGGTTCTTCCCCTCGGGGCCCGAAGAAAGAACCGTGGAAACAGGTAAAAACGAGGGCCGAACCTGCTGTTGTATTTCATTCATTCGTTGCCCCTCACGGCTACGTATCACCTGGCAACTTTTACCTGGAATCTGGCCGTTTAACCCACTTCTGTTGATGCGGCGACAGATCGGTAAAAGCCGCAGGTAAGATTATCGGCTTCGGGCCTCTCAAGAATTTCGAATCCGTCGCCTTTTCTCCACGCTTTTAATCGTAGATTATGTATGTATATACCTGGAGTCGTCTCTGGCGCGTTGCCTTTAATCAATCTTCGAGAGAAGAACAGGCCGACTAGCTGGAACACGTGGAAGCAGATTAATGATTCACGTTCTATACCCCGAGGGTCGTTGAACTACTTGCCTTTCGTCTTTTTAAACATTTTACTTTCTCTCTTGTCACACCTTTGATCGATCGGTTAATACAGGGTGATTCTAGTAACTGGGTCAGGCTACAACTCTGTTTCAAGTGAAGTTCGAAAAGTATCGTACGTAAAAACATTGCAAGCTCAGCATTCTATGGTACGATTTTTTTTTTTTTTAAGTGCATTTGTGCACTTGTAAAGTGCAACTGCAATTTTATTTCTTGAAACGAAGCTACATCATATTTTGTTTGCGTAAATTGACTTTTAAATTGACATTTAAATTAAGATACATATCTACAACGTAAAGTTATTATAAAGTTGTGCAGATAAGAGTTTATTCGATCTTAAATTTGCCGTGCAATAAGATTGCACGAGAAATGATAATTACAAATATCGTGGTAGACGTGAAGAAAATAATTCTGTTCTAGATGATAGCAGGTGAATATCTTCACGCGAAATACTGCAAAGCAGAATCGTCGAAGATACTATTTGGCTACAATATTCCTCCTTGGATGTGGAATGCATATGAGAAGGTATGTTTTGAAAAATATTTATACTCTGTCGAGATAAAACATTCGCTACTTTTTCTCTCGATAAATACATTAAAACGCGGTTCTAAAAAAATATCGTGGAAGCAGGAAAGCTTGCAACTCTCTATTGAAAATAGCCTTTCATCCTATGCTTTTAACACCTTTCTTTCCCTTATACTATGTCAATATCGAACTCTTTCTGTCAATATTTAAAAAATTTTTTACTGTTTCGTGCAAATACATTGGAAATCTTTAAGGCTTTTAAATATTCTACCTTGAATAACCCTAACCTTGAAAATTTCGAAAAAAATGTACTATAATCGTATGAAAGGCCTTTTTGAACCATCTCATGCGACACAAAAAGAGAAACAAATTTCGTTCGGTCCACTAGCAACAGAATAAATCTGAGGTGATCCCTTTAGGCGGTCCACCCTGTATGCAATGTATCGTAATGCAGGGTGATTCCCTCGCTAGTTAACCTAAAGGCAGTGCCGCCAATCACACCGCGGCGATAACGCCGCTGTCGGTTGTATAATCTGTCGACCGGTCTTTGATGTCACAGCGAAGACCGGCGACAGATCACACACAATACCGACGCGATATGATCGGCGGCACTGTCTTTAGGTCAACTAGCGAGGGAATCTGCTTTACGAGTAATTGCTCTTTACTGCATTATATTTTTGCAAAAAGATATATTTATTTATCACAATACACGTACTTCGTATCTTTAACCCTCTGTAACACCACGTGACTTGGAAGTTACGTGTCCATTTAGGTATCTATATTTCACAGTCTCATTTTATTTATTTATTGTTACACTATTGCACTATATTGTTATACTGTTACGTTATTACCAGTCAATCTTTTACAATAATCATTACATTTTTATGATAATTATAATTTAAAAAATTCATTATTTCGTATTTATTTTATTATTTTTTACATTTACTCTGGCATCTCCCGTGAAAATGTAGAAAAGAGTCAGCCAGAATTTGCCTTCTCACGAGCAAAGAAGAATCAGGATAATAGAGGGTTAGATTGATCAATGATGAAGAGTAATTAATAATTAATACGTTAACTTACAAAATTGAAAGTTCACTTTGCATATTACTGCATTAGTATTGATATACTTACCGGTTACGATTATAAATGTTTGTAACACGTGCACGTGATTCCTTACAACCGTACTTTCTCCATGTTTCAGGTCGGAATTTTCGGTTTCGGAGCGGCAACCACCGTTTTAATTACCGATATCGGAAAGTACACAATCGGCCGTCTGAGACCCCATTTTATGACTCTTTGCGTACCTAACATTAATTGCAGCTTGGCGGAGAATCAACACAGATACATCGAGAATTATTCCTGCACCGAAAATATTTCGCCGAAATTCCTAAAGGAGATCAGGTAAACATTTCTTTTCACACACGAGAAACCTTCGAACGACTTGAATTCTTTGGCTACCAATTTCATAAAGATAGGATGAAAATTAGAAAAATTAAAATTTACTTTCTTTATTTACAATATTTTTGTATACACGCGTATTTATTCGGCCGTTGACCTGTATAGAGACTGATCGTCGCATCTGTATATGTGTACATGGATACACGACGTGGATACGTGTATTTATTTATTAATCATTTTTTTAGCAATAATACTAGTTTTTAGTAATACTTCTGAAAATCGAGATTTATTTGCCCAACTAAGGCACGTTTGCAATCAGTTTGCAATTTTCATTGCGGTATTGGAATACTAAAGGAAAAAAGGAACACGTTATCCTAAGAAAGATAGACGGGGAAGCCCCTGCTCGTAAGACAAAGAAAGCATTTGCCAAAAAGAGACAGATGAAAAAGGTGTACAGTGGTAAGACATAAGACGAGGAGGAGGATATTGCCGCCAGAAGTGAAATAAAGATCGCGTTTCTAAACAGATACGCCCATGCGCCTATACGCTGACCAGTTGTACCACTACATATACATACAGGTCTCGCTTGGTAGGGTTCCCCGGTGTACAAAAGCAGCGGAGGAGAAATGGTCTATAAGAGAGGCCAACCGAATTGGCCTCTGCTTGAAAAAAAATGTTATTTAAGAATTAGCCAGCCTGCAGTATTCGACGGATTGTATCAAATGTTTATTCAACATAATCTAAAAAAAACATCGTTTCCGAGTAAACAGCGATTTTCTACTCGAATAGTGTCGCTTTTCAGCAAATTTTTTACAGTTTTTCATAATTTGTTCGTAGGATGATTATAATAATTTTCATATCAACGATAACGTTGAATTTACATTGGAGTACGATAAAATAATACGATTCTCGGCAGTAAGTTATTTTCCCGATGAATGACTGATGCAGTGATATTATCGACACAAAATAATA